ATAAGGGACGTCACTGCAAACCCAGGCCTGCCTGACTTGAATACCATTTATTTTTGAGCTTTAATTATTGCTAGTAGAATTAAATGCAACATGAAAGTCAGCGTCTGATCTCACTGATTTTAACTTCTAGAATTCATAGGAAATGTGTGTGTGCCTTGCCTAGGCAAAATGACTAATTTCTTCAACAGTCAGTTATTTCAAGATAACCAAGAGAAAAAGAACGTTTGGTAGTTTTTAAAACATCATTCAATAGGAACTACCAAAAATCTTTTCAAGTAATATATTTCCCATATATATGACAAATGACTGCATTTTTATTTGTGGGATTTTCTTGAAGGAACTGAAGTAGAGTCTTCAGAGAAGCTGAGTTCTGTAGAAACCACACCCTAGCTCTGTGGCTACTTCTACTTCTGCAATCCTGGACTTCGCTAATAAAGTAAGTTTCCTACCTCAAAAACAGAGCTTTAGAAAGCATTATGAAGACTCTTCCTGAGGTTTTTCATGTGTCAGTAAAACCACTTGACAGTATTTTTGAGTAATAAATCTTTGGGAGTCACAATCCTATGAATAAAGTACTTTATTAAAGATCTCAAGTTTTTTTATTGCCCATATAATTTTTTTCACAATTTTTATTATTTTGGCAGTAAGTTCATCCCAAAGTGAATGTGTTTCCAAAGTCTGAACAACATTGCATCAGTCATTTATAAGTAAAGACACTTACATAAGAAGAGGAATAAGTTCTGGTTTTTTAATGTGCTATTACAACACATTTCCTTACTTATTTCCTACTACTGATCTCTAGAGATGTGTTTTTATAAATAAATATTAAATTCTTCCTAATAGTCAAGTCTTTTTTAACCCCTCCGCTCCCCTCCTAATATTCAAATCTTGATAATTTAATAACTAGTAGCTATAATTGAATTAAAAGTTACTGAGGACATTTGCATGGCTATTTATTGTTTTTGTTCCACTGACTAATAAATGGTTTCTGGCATCAGACTTGTATGTAGGATATAGCTGTGACTATATGTGGAAAGAGGATTATTGCTGAAGCTACAGTAGTGTAATGATCTGGGTTCAAATCCTAGCTTTGCCATTTAATAACTGTGTGAGCTTGAGCAAAGTGAATAACCTCTCTGATCACTTAGCACAATGACTGTGTTAATGATAAGTATTCAATAAATGAGCACTTCTGAATCATAAATTTTGCTTTCTAAGCACCATTCCCCAGTATTAGGAACCAAAGCTCTTTAAAGAATTGGCTGGTTTTAGTTCAGTGGTCTGAATATTGCAAGAGGGCCTATGATGATTTCTTCAGTCAGAGATCAAGGAAGACTGCAGAGACTAAAGGACTCATGCTACAAGGTCGCAGGGGACATCCTGCAGGAGCTTCTGCCAGACAAATTTGGAGAATTTGGAGCACTGAAAGAAAATAATTGATTATAACACAGTAAATAAAGAAAAACCCATGTGTCCGTGGAATTGAAAGCAAAAGCAAAGAAAATAAAGAAAGCTTTTCTTTATAGAGGAAAACCACCTAATAGATGGTAAGAACAATGAAATTATAGTATCACCACTTTGCTGCCCATAATGGAATAGTTAATCCAGACAAGAATCGGTGGATGCTGACATCACTAGGTAAAGTCACCGGGAACAGGAATAACCTGATATCACTCCACAGAAACGTAACTGCAGAAGAGAAAAAATGTAGTCTTCCACCAAAGACATTGGTAGTCGAACATAGGGTCACCAACAGTACAACACTCTAACATCATTTGCCTTCTAACAGAATGCAATCTGAAATATACAGCTTTACCTTTAAAATATGCTTGCCAAAAGCCTTAACCAAATCCAGTTTAGCCTCTAGATCCAACTTTTAAGTTTACAAGATATAGAGAAACAAGTTAAACAACACAGTGAAGAAACAATCAAGCCACTGCTCTGGACTCTCCAAAATGTCAACGCTATTAAAAAACTAGTTGGGTGCGGTGGCTCATGTCTATAATCCCAGCACTTTGGGAGGCTGAGGCAGGTGGACTACATGGTCAAGGATCAAGACCATCCTGGCCAACATGGTGAAACCCCATCTCTACTAAAAATACAAAAATTAGCTGGGCTTGATGGTGCATGCCTGGAGTCCCAACTACTCCAGAAGCTGAGGCAAGAGAATCACTTGAACCCGGGAGGCAGAATTGGCAATGAGCTTATATCGTGCCCCTGCACCCCAGCCTGGGCAAGAGAGCGAGACTCCATTTAAAAAAAAAAAATACTGAAACTAATCAACAAATGCAGTTAATTAACCTAAGCAGGATCGCAATTTGGGGAAGAAAACAGCTGTAAAAGACATTCTTGTATCAGGTGGTGAAATTTAAATGTGGAATGATACTATATGATTATTAGCTAAGCCAAACTTAGTGGCTTAAAGCAACAAACATTGATTATCTCACAGTTTCTATGGGTCAGGAATCTGGGCATGACTTTGCTTATGGTTCTGGCTCAGGGGCTCTCATAAGGTTAGGGTCAAGCTGTTAAGCAGGGCTGCAGTCCTCCCCAGGACTGACCAGAGGAGAATTCCCTGCTGGTCTCACTCACATGATAGCTGACAGGTCTCAGGTTCTTGCCACATGGGCCTCCCGAGAGGTGGCTGAGTATCTTCACCACATGGTAGCTGACCTCCCTCTCCCCAGAGCTACATCACAACATGGTGGTCCCTGGCTTCCCCTCAAGAGCAAGTGATTCCAGAGAGAGCAACAGAGTTCATCTAAGACAGAAGCCACAGCCTTCTTATAACCTAATCTCAAAAGTGGTATTCATCATTTCTGACATATTCTATTCATTAGAAGGGAATCAATAAATCCAGACCAGGTTGAAGAGGAGGAATGTTAAGAAAAAAAAAAAAAAATGTGTGTGCTGAAAACCACCACAGATGGCATTACAGTATTATAATTTTCAGATGCAGCAATAGTATTATGGTTACATAGAGCAGTGTCCTTATTCTTAGGATAAATATGCTGATGTAGTTAGAGGCAATACATATGATGTCTGCAACTTATTTTCAAGTGGCTCTGCAAATATATATATATGTTTATGCAACAATAACAAATACATATTATTTATGTAAAATAACAAAGCAAATAAAAGAAAATGCTAACAATTGTTGCATCTGGGTGGAGGATGGGTGGATGGTCATTGTCATATTCCTTCACCCTTTCTGTATCTTTGAAACTTTTCAAAAGAAAATGTTGGTGAAAAATACTGGAAAGTTATTACGTTGATCCCATTAAAAGTCATTGCAAAAACTGCAATTACTTTTGCACCATCCTAATACTATTGACCAATTTGTGTCTTCCCCAAAACTCATATTTTGAAGTCCTAACCCCCAATGCAATGGTATTTATGGGTGGCGCCTTTGGGAGTTGATAAGGTTCTGATGAAGTTTTGAGGGTGGGGATCTCATGATGGGATTAGTGCCCTTAGAAGGAGAGACATCATGGCACTTAGCTTGCTTGCTTACTCTCTCTCTGACATGTGGAGACACAGGGAGAAGGCAGCCATCTACACGCAGGATGAGAGTCCTCACCAGAACCTGACCATGCTGCTGGCACCCTGATCTTGGATTTCCCAGCCTCCAGAATTGTGAAAAATACATTTCTGTTGTTTAAGCCACCCAGTCTATGGTACTGTGTTACGGCAGCCCAAGCTAACGAAGACGAGGGCACTGACAACAATAAAGTTTGCACTTTCCACAGATCTAATGTGTCAGGAGAATAAAGCCAGTGGTATGAAGGGCTTTTTGATGCAGGGAATTGGCTGAAAATAGAAATTAGTATAATGACTGTGCTTTTCAACTTCCTATCCCATCTCAGTGTGGCTGTGATGTCACTAGACAGGGAAGTCCCCAAAGAAATTCCCAAAAAGGCAGCTCCTTCCCCTGCACCCACTAATTCCACAGGCCCCTCCTTAGCCTGTGGGCCACCAGTAGGCCTTCACCCCCAGGGAGGTTCCCTTTATCAGCACCTTTATCAGATTGTACTAGCTCGTTTTTGCCTTTGGAAATGAATCATTATTATTAATCCCAAATAAATTTATCACAAAATTTGAAAATATAATCAAGGGATTATATGGTGTTAAAAAAAAACACACACACAATATTAAGTCCCATGCTCAAACAGGTTCCAGATCATTTGAAAAGATCAGCCAATTCACTATGTAAATAAAAGTTTAGAATTCAGTCACTTCCCTTTGGCAATACCTGTCAAAATGACAAGGTCCTTGTCCTTTGGCCCAGTGAGTCTACTTCTTGGATTTTGTCTTTCTGCTATATCCTCCCACATGAAGAATGATATAAGATTACTCATAATAGCTATATTGATAATAATGTATAGTATATTGCCATTTGTGTTAAAAATAAATAAATAAAAAGAGAAAAATATACTGTGCAGAGTGTGTCAACATTTGTGTTAAAAAGAAATAAGGTCCGCGCACAGTAGCTCACGCCTGTAATCCCAACACTTTAGGAGGCCGAGGTGGGCAGATCACCTGAGGTCAGGAGTACGAGACCAACCTGGCCAACATGGGGAAACCCTGTCTCTACTAAAAATACAAAAAATTAGCTGGGCACGGTGGCACATGCTTGTAATCCCAGCTACTCTGGAGGCTGAGGCAGAAGAATTGCTTGAACCCGGGAGGCAGAGGTTGCAGTGAGCCAAAATTGTGCCATTGCACTCCAGTCTGGGAAACAGAGTGAGACTCCTTCTCAAAAATTAATTAATTAATTAAAATTAAAATGTTTAAATATACATATATAGCCAATGACCTGTTCAAGTCACTTTGTCCCATGTCACCCCCAACCCTTCTGCTGAGTGCAGGCTCTCAAAATTGCGATCAATAAACAATAACTTGTGATCAATACTTCCAGGGCGCTTATCTGACACCCAGTTCTTCCATTTCTGCTTCCTCAACGTGGTCCTGGACGCACCCGTATCCTTCATACATCGTACCTGATTCAGCTTGTCTTTCTCTTCAATACAGGAGGCAGTTTTTTTCTGCTCTCTGTTGACTTCTGAAGCCAGCCTCATGATTGTTTCTCTGCTAGCTTTTGCCTCCATCTCATGGACATTTATAGTCTCTTCAAGAATCACAATTTGTCCTTTCATGAATTCATTTTCCTTGCACAGCTCTCTAAGCTGAAGAGAAAGCAATTACAGCTGTCCTATAAAAATTAACAATTTCGTACATTTTCCCTAAGCAATTCACAATCTACAGGCTGCATTATCATATGAAAAATGTAAGAGCACTATCCCACATGGACTCTAATGATCACATTTTCAAAGGCAGCCTCTCAACTCTGTTTAAGACCTGGCAGTCAAATTCAAATTATCCAAAAGGTGGCCACAAGGCAAGGATAATGAAGCCAAAAGCATCCCAACAGAGCACACATCAGCAAACCTCTGGCTACTAAATACTCCAGGTCAGGTGAAGCTCTACAGAGGCTGCCACAGGCAATGAAGCAAGGGACTTGCCTTCAGCCTTGTCTACTCAGGCTTAATGAAGTCAAGACACCATGTAGCCCTGGAGGAAACACAGAGAACACAGGGCCATGCTTTTTTAAAAAATGTATTATTCTAATTAAAATAAGCATAGGAAAATTGTGAATAACAGCTCAGTGTTTATCACAGGGAACTGAGATTAGCAGGGCTTTTGCTTACTATGTTGTGCACTGGAATTGTTAACTGGGAGCATTTATAAGATTTACCAGGGAAAAATAAAAGCCAGCAAAACTCCCCACCTCAGGGGGGCGCTCACCAGACAGTCTCCAACACCTGTGACTTGCTTCCCTCTCTATCCCTGAATCCTGATTTGTTTCTCTGCATTGCACCTTTTTCACCATGTGGGGCAACTGAAGATATTTATTTGCTTATTTCTTCACTATCCTTACTCCTTGATAGTGAAATCTCTAGGAGAGCACATAGTCTTGTCTCATTCACTGCTGTCTCTCCAGCACTCAGAACAGTGTCTAGCATATAGTAAACACTCATTAAATATTTGTGAAATGAAGGAATGAATAGCAAACAAATTATTGGGAATGCATGGTTCCTTGGGAATGCATGTTCACGTGTGTTTATGAGGGTATGTGAAAGTGAAGGAACAGTTTTGAAACTGGAGCCATTTTGTTCTTGAGGAACACCTAATGAGGCGGCAGTCTTGGTCAAGATAGCTAACTTCCCAATCAGGGCCAATTATTTTTTTTTCTTTTTAAGACAGGCACCCGCTCACATGGCCGAGAGGCCGAAGCTCCAGATTCCTACCCTGTGCCATGAAATATAGATTCCATTATTGTTCAGGTAAGTTGAGGCCAACCAATCCCAGGAAGAAATTGCCATTAAAAAGATAGTTTCTTATTCATTGTTCCCAAGTGGAAGGAACCCACCAAGCCACACGGGGCTATGGGAAAGCACCAGGGGCAGTCGGGAGGCAGAAGAAGCAGGTAGAAAAGTGAGCAAGAGGCAGTATCATCGCCTCCACTGGAAGGAATAAGCAAAGCAGAGTAAGCCAAATTAGGGTTGGCTGTTGAATGATTTCAGTGGCTCTTGGGGTGTAGGGACTGTCCTCAGCTCTCTAGGGGCCTTAGGGCCAGGGGCAGTAGCCTGCAGGTAAGAGCCAGCTGTAAGAGATGGCTGGGGAGTGGGCTCTGGATTGGTCACATGGAAAGCTCTGCTGGAAAGGGCAGGCTCTCCTGGGACATCAAGACCCTGGAAGTCAAATCATTAGAAATATAGAAAAGACAAGGGCATGATTAATGCCATAGAAACACCCAGATTAGCACCTAGAGATTGTCTCTGATAGAGAAAAGACTGTCATGGAAGAAGGAGCTTCTGAATTCCCTTTTCTGCTCCCCATCATTTGGTTTGAAAGATAATTCTCAAACTACAGGTGGACTTTTACAGCCAAGCTCCTGGTCACAGGTTAACCATAGGGAGCAGGACGAGAGCCATCCAGCACCCATGAGAGCATCACGTGGACCCATGTCCCCAGCTATCAAAACCCCTTCGTGAAGTGGAATACTTCCTAAAATCAAATGAAGTCATCATGCAGCTTTCAGAGAGGACATTTGGGAGGCTCACTAGTAGACAGCTGAGAGGTGACTTTTAAAAGTGGCTGCGTGACCAGGCATGGTGGCTCACTCCTGTAATCCCGGCACTTTGGGAGACTGAGGCAGGCAGATCATGAGGTCAAGAGTTCAAGACCAGCCTGACCAACATGGTGAAACTCCTTCTTTACTAAAAATACAAAAATACAAAAGAAAAAAGCCAGGTGTGGTGGCATGCACCTGTAATGCTAGCTACTTAGGAGGCTGAGACAGGAGAATTGCTTGAACCTGAGAGGTGGAGGTCACAGTGAGCCAAGATTGGGCCACTGCACTCCAGCCTGGGCAACAGAGCAAGGCTCTGTCTCAAAAAAAAAAAAAAAAAAAAAAAATGGCTGCATGATGGGCCAGATGTGATGGCTCATACCTGTAATCCCAGCACTTTGGGAGGCCAAGGTGGCAGAATCGCTTGAGTTGAGGAGTTAGAGACCAGCCTGGGCTATTAGTGAGACCTCATCTCCATTTAAAAAAAAAAAGAAAAAAAGGAAAAAAAAAAAAAAAGCTGCATGGGTGCTGTGCATGGTGGCTCACAACTGTAATCACAGCACTTTGGGAGGCAGAAGTGGGGTCATTGCTTGAGGCCAGGAATTCAAGACCAGCCTGGATGACATAGCGAGACCATCTCTACATAAAATAAAATAATTAGCCAGACATAGTGGTGCAAGTCTGTAGTCCCACTTACATAGGAGGCTAAGGCAGGAAGATCCCTTGAGTTCAGAAAGTCAAGACCACAGTAAGCTAGGATCATACCACTGCACTCCAGCCTAGGTGACAAAGCAAGACCTTGTCTCTAAATTTGAAAAAAAAAAAAAAAAATGACTGTATGGAAATCTGTCAGCAAGCAAGGATACGAAAGGTTTATAAATAGCCAAAGAGAACCATGAGCACTCAAATACTTTCAGGTACGCTAATGAAGCACTATGGGCCAAGTGAATTATTCAGTTAATACTGTTTATTTCCGAGTTAATGGTAGTCTACCATTAAAGTAGAATTTTTGCTATTTGTTTTTGTTTTTGTTTTGTTTTGTTTTTGAGATGGAGTCTTACTGTGTGGCCCAGGCTGGAGTGCAGTGGCACTATCTTGGCTCACTGCAACCTCCGCCTCCTGGTTCAAGCAATGCTGCCTCAGCCTCCCAAGTAGCTGGGATTACAGGTGCCCGCCACCATGCTTAGCTAATTTTTGTATTTTAGTAGAGACAAAGTTTCACCATGTTGGCCAGGCTGGTCTCGAACCCCTGACCTCAGGTGATTTGCCCACCTCGGCCTCTCAAAGTGCTAGGATTACAGGCATGAGCCACCACACCCAGCCACTATTTGGTTTTAATGTAAAATTTTTAAGTACTTTAGAACTCACAATCAGTATCCTAAAAATGACACTCAACTGGTTTTGTGTGAGTATGTGTCTGGCTGTAACTAAAAGGAAAAATACTCCCTAAAGCAAATGGTTAAAATGAGTAATTAATGGTATTGACAACCTAAATATATTTTGGACAAAGCCATTACTCTCTTTTGGAGAATAATTAATTCCAATAATGCTAGAAAAGATCTTAGAATTGAGGCTCGGGAAGGTGATGTGACTTGTCCCAAGTCACACAGTTAATTAACGCTACACCTGGGTTACTGTCCCCATTCTCCCGCCACCCCCAAACTCAACCACAGCACTTCCTTTCATGCCACGTGTCAGAATCACCACTACATTTATAGACTTTTTAATCTGCATACAGACACCTTTAAAATTAAATCTTCATCTGATGCCTGATCATTCCTCTCGTCTGGATCCAAGCAGTCACGAAGTTGAGTCAGAAATTCCTCATGTTTCCTGCAGTTCTTGGAAACCTCTTTCTTATTCTCCTCATTTTCTTTTGAACACTTTCTGTAAGGCAAATAACCAATAAGTCAGAGTTTAACACCATGGAAGATAACGTTCATCAAACTAAGTCAGAATGTAAGCTCTCTGGGGGAAATAATAGTCATTTTCAAGATAACACCGTTTCCCAGACACAGAGCAAACTATTGTCACAGAAGCCCTATCAAGGAAGGAGAAAAGTGGAAGCAATTTTGGGACACCTATGCTTTGCAGAAATACAAGGAAATCTTCAAGGCATTGTGGACTTAGTAACAGGAGAGAAAATGGTTTCCCCTAGCCTCAACCCTTTAGAATCTCCAAAAATGGAGGCAGATGTCTAGAACACACGTGCTCACAATCCACACAGCCAAGGGTCTTCACTGGGGCCTCACAGGGAAAGACGGTGTTACCACATTGGTTCCAGAGGACGAAGCTTCATTTTATTTTATTTTATTTCTTTTTTTTTTTTTTTTTTTTTGAGAGGGGGTTCCACTCTTGTTGCCCAGGCTGGAGTGCAATGGCGTGATCTTGGCTCACTGCAGCCTCTGCCTCCCTAGTAGCTGGGTTCAGGCGATTCTCCTGCCTCAGCCTCTCTAAAAGCTGGGATTACAGGTGCTCACCATTACCACACCCAGCAAATTTTTTGTATTTTTAGTAGAGACAGGGTTTAACCATGTTGGTCAGGCTGGTCTCAAACTCCTGACCTCAGGTGATCCCCCCACCTTGGCCTCCCAAAGTTCTGGGATTACAGGCCTGAGCCATCACACCCAGCCAATTTTATTTTCAAACTCTACAATACAGTGGTTTATAAGCGTCCTGGTTCATGGCCAGGCATAACTGTAATAATAAACACATCAAAAGCACAGAAGGTTCACGCCTCTGGCAAAGAGATGTGTCCAATCACCAGCAAAGTTCATTATCAGTTTTCACATGCCCACAGTCTTTAAAGTGTATTGGAAGAAAGGAAAGAAAATCAGTATATCGAGGAGATATCTGAACCTCCATGTTTATTGCAGTTCTATTCACAATAGCCAAGATAGAATCAACACAAGTGTCCATCAGTGGGTGAATGGAGAAAAAAATGTGATATATATATATATCACAATGTGTATATATATATACACATTGGAATACCATTCAGCCTTTTAAAAGAATGAAATCCTGTCAGAAGTGGCAATATGGATGAACCAGGAGGATATTATGTTAATCAAAATAAGTCAAGTACAGAAAAATAATTACTGCATGGTCTCACTCATATGTAGGAGCTGAAAAAATTGAACTCGTAGAAGCAAAGAGTAGAATTGTGATTATTAAAGGCTGGAAAGGATAGTGGATGGTAGAGGTTACAGAGAGGTTAGTCAATGGCTATAAAGTTATAAAGATGGTTATAAACTTATAAAGCTAGATGGCAAGAGTAAGTTCATGGTGTATGCTATAGTGTTCTGTAGCATAGTAGGGTGAATATGGTTAACAATAATTTAGTTTTCAAATAGCTAGAAGAGAGGATTTTGAATATTCACAATGCAAATAACTGATAAATGTTCAAGAGGATGAATTTGCTAATTTCCCTGATTTGATCATTATACATTGTTTACATGTATCAATATATCGCTCCATATCCCATAAATATGTACAATTATTACAAGTCAACTAAAAATAAAAGGAGAAAAAGAGCATTAGAAGAGTGTTAGAATTGGCTAGTCAAGGAACAAAGGAAATTTATGATCTATTATGAATATATTATTTCAAATCTCAGATAGGCTTGTTGAAATAATATGTTCTATTTCTAATGCTTTCAATGTTAGCAACTAAGAGATCATCGATAATAGGCATACTTTAAAGGCAAATTAGAATCATTTCAGTAATTTAGTGTCATTTTTAAATATCCAAGATAATAAACATGATTATTGCTTTTCCTTTTTACCATGTTGAGTGTTTACTGCGAATTCTTTCACTCTATTCAAAGATTAACAAAGCATGTAATTGCAGATACTCAAAGCATATCAGATTTCTATTTAGAAAACTCTGTAACGATAAAAGGCTAACATCACTATATCTTTGAGTTCTTATTTTAGCATATGAAAGGTAAAACTCTTCAGTCTTTTGGACTCAGGAAAGGCATAATTAAGTGCATCGTGCTGATCGATTTACATATATGATTCCATACATTAACCCCAAGATTTCGATCTTTCTTCTCCATTCCAAAGGTTTCTAAATTACTTTCACTTCTATTTGCAATTCACTTGACCCAATAAAGTTCCAGGAATCTATCCTAAGAAAATAATCACATAAATGTGAAAATATGAATCACATAGATATTCATTGAAGCTTGGTTTGTAGCAATTTTTTTTAGTGGAACTAACCTAAGAGCCTGTAGAAATAGCAAAAGGAATTGATTGAGTAAATCATATTTCGAGCAAAGGAACATAATGGGCCATTTAAAATTATATACTAGGCTCAGCACAGTGGCTCATGCCTGTAATCCCAACATTTTGGGAGGCCAGGATAGGAGGATTGCTTGAAGCCAGGGATTCAGGACCAACCCGGGCAACATGGCAAAACGCCGTCTCTACAAAAAAAAAAAAAAAAAAAAAAAAAAAAAAAACAAAAAAATCAGCTGGGTGTAGTGGCATGCACCTGCGGTCCCAGCTACAAAAGAGGCTGAGGTGGGAAGATCGCTTGAGCCAGGAGATAAAGGCTGCAGTGAGCCATGATTGCACCACTGCACTCCAACCTGTGTGGCAGAGTGAAAACCTGTTTCAAATAAGTAAATAAATAAAATTATATACTAAATGAGTTTTTAAACTGTTCACAACCTATAGTCAGACACAGTGGCTCACTCCTGTAATCCTAACACTTTGGAAGGCCGAGGCAGGCAGATCAGTTGTGGTCAGGAGCTTGAGACCAGTCTGGTCAACATGGCAAAACTCCATCTCTACTAAAAATACAAAAAGTAGCTGGGTGTGGTAGCACATGCCCATAATCCCAGCTACTCAAGAGGCTGAGGCATGAGAACTGCTTGAACCTAAGAGGTGGAGGCTGCAGTGAGCCAAGGTCATGCCACTGTACTCCAGCCTGGGTGACAAAACAAGACTCTATCTTAAAAAAAAAAAAAAAAAGATATATATTAAGCAACATCATTTACCCATAAAGAGGAAAAAAATATTAAAGAATAAAAGATAGATAGATAGATAGATGGATAGACAGATACCAGCTACTTGGGAGGCTGAGTCATAAGAATTGCTTGAACCCAGGGGGCAGAGGTTGCAGTGAGCCAAGATTGCACCCACTGCATTCCACCCTGGGCAACAGAGCAAGACTCTTTCTAGAAAAGAGAAGATGGAGAAGAAGAAGAAGAAGGAGAAGAAACATGAAGAGGTGATAGCTCTCTCTCTCTCTCTCTCTCTCTCTCTCTGCCATGTAAGTCTACAGCACGAAGGCATTCATCTACAAACCAGGAAGAGGACCCTCACCAGGAACTGAATAGGCCAGCACCTTGATCTTGGACTTCCCAGACTCCACAACTACAAGGAATAAATTTCTGTCATTTAAGCCACCCAGTATATGGTATTTTTCTTATAGCAGCCCAAACCAACTAAGACAGAAATTAGTACCAGGAGTGGGATGCTGCTGTAACAGATACATATTATAATAATCCAGGTGAGAGTTAATGGTTGCTTGGACCAAGTCAGTGACAATAAAGGTGACAATAGAAAGCTGACAAAATTTTGATTTGTCTTGAAGAGAGATATGATGGGATTTGCTTAACAATCAGACATGGAGAGTGAAAGAAAAAGAGAACCAAGGTTTATAGCAAGAATTTTGAAATCATCAAAATGTATTTTAGGAACAACTCATTCCCAATTTTGTCTCAATAATCACTTATTGTCAGAATGAAGTGTGGGAAACCTAGGTTTCATGACTTCTCTGCATAAACTAGGAATAAAATCTAGTGAGGAGTATTCAGTGTGATTTGGAGTGGTCTAGCTTCTAGGATATTTTTACAACTGGCTTCTAAGTAAATATCTACTTCTGTGTACTACCTACCCCACCACATCAGGGTTAAACTCTACTTAGAGGAATATTCCAAATTGTGTTAATAAGCATTTGCAGCCACCATTGGTAGGCTATAAACATGCTTAAAACAAGGCTATATTTGTTAAGATTCTTGATGACATTTAGAAATGAGCTAGGGAAAAATTTTTCAAGACTCCAAAAATATTTGAGGTTTTTTTTCAAATATTTTTTTTCAAATTGAGTTTCAGGACCAAATAATCCAAAACACCAGTACATTCAAAGACATATCTTGCTATCAGAAGCCAGTATTTTAACGCTAAAGCGAGAAATATACTGCAGTATCCTTACTGTAATTTTTCATCTAACTCCACAACTTTCTTCTTTAATTCCTGATTCTCCTTGATTGCGGTGTGAGCTGTGATTTCAGTTCTGATTTTAGAAGTGGAAAGTGCTGCTGATTCTTCTTCTAGCTCCTGAACTCTGTCTCTCAAAGAAGTAAGGAGAGATGATTTTCTGGCATTGTTTTCTTTGTAGCTCTCTATCTCAGCTCTCAACTCTTGATAGGAGACTTCTTTAGAAAGCATCTTGGATCGGAGGTCTTGAAGCTAACATGGAAAAGAAGTTAAAGAAAAAAACCTTAACAACATAATTTTGAAGTATCTTTAAGAAATCTAAAGCCATAATTTAAATGTTCACTCTTTTATTCATGACTTAATCTAACTTTATTTTCTTTTCTAATATCTGTGTCTATATTAACAAATGAGAAATTATGCCTAAATAATGGACTTTATATTCTGTATTTTCCAAAACCAGTTGAGCAATGTCTTATGTTGCTTTAATCTTTCAGGAGATGTTTACAATGTTGACTGCATAAGCAATAAAATATTTTGCAATGGTCTGCATTTTCTAAATCTGTATTGCTGCTATTGCTGCTGATAAACAATTAGACAAGTAACCTACAAATCACATGATCTGTGATCACACAGCCATAACTCTTTCCCACATAAACACAGACCACTCAGTATATCACTACATTATTTCTGGACTCTAGCCATGAATGATAAATAAAAATAATATTCCAATTTCTGAGGGGGAAAACATGGAAAAAAAGAAAAATCCTTATAGGATTTATATAAAGAAAACATTTTGACTTTTATGAGTTCTGTGGCATCAAAAAGCTGAACAATATATGGCCCTACTGAGTTGAAATGTCAGATCTACCCTACGAGAAAACATTATGAAAGCATGTACTTCTTTGGAACTCTGTGTTTGCATACATACATTTATTCACACACACGTTATCAACTCATCTTTCTATGGGATCCTGGCAGCCTTAATGAGAAATCACAGGCCATTCTAGGACTCCTCAGGGCCACCAGGCTATAAGCAGAATGAGTTTAGGAAGACCATCAGAAACTCCACCCTAGACCAGAGCTAGCCTACAGGGCAGATGGATCCCAGTCCTCTTCCTAGAATTTCCCCAGCCAGTTGGAACTACAACAGGCAAAGGATTCAGAATTCCCTCCTAAGAACTCCAGATTGTGGCCAGGCGCAGTGGCTCATGCCTGTAAGCCCAGTACTTTGGTTAGACCGAGGCGGGCGGCTCACCTGAAGTCAGGAGTTCAAGATCACCCTGACCAACATGGTAAAACCCCGTCTCTAAAAAAATTTAAATTAAATTAAATTTAAATTTAAAAAAGAACTCCAGATTACAAGCAATCCACATTAAAGGAAGATATTCTGAGAGATGCTGAAAGCTCTCTGAGGCCCATGGACTTTTAATGAACATCTTCAGGTGCCTCCAGATCTCTCAAGGCTGTATAGCTCCTCTGAGATCCAGAATCCAGCCCAACCCACCTTGCTTTACAGCCTGGAAAATGCATGTTTTCAGGAATTCTAGGGGATAGGCACAAGAAAATAAGTTGCAACTTTACCAAAAGCTTTAAATGTATATCCTCCCAATGTCCGACTTCTAATCACTCCTATACTCCATTTCATTTTATAAGAAGCTAAGAAGACCCATCTCTGAGTGACGGAGATGCATTATCTTACCTCAGACTGAGCACATTCAAATTTGACCAAAGTTGCTGCAAGTTCACTTCGAGCATTTTGAGCCACATTCCGATAGTGGTTTAACTGCTCCCGTGTGACCGGGACTTCCGAAAGGTGATTGTAAGTTTCCTGGTAGAATTCCCCCAAAAGACAAAATACCAAGAAGAGTGTTAAACAATCTTTTCTGTACAGCTACATAAAGCAAGATTAAAAGCAGAAGCATTCTTTGTATTGCATATGTGTCAAACATGCTACCCAGAGAAATGTTATATTCAGACCATTTTGTTCTCATTCTCAGAGTCCGAAGGGAGGCAGGAGAAAGTTCAGGAACAAATGATATGCTCCTCCAGGATGGTGATGAGATTTGTCATTTAAGAATTAGCCTTTCCTTGACATGTACAGGCACAAAAAAAAAAAAAAAAGAATTGGCCTGTGACATGGTGTGTTGGCTCACACCTATAACCCTAGCACTTTTGAAGGCCAAGGCAGGAGGATTCCCTGAGGCCAGAAGTTCCAGACCAGCCTGGGCAACATAGCAAGACCCTATCTCTACAAAAAGAACTTTTTTTTAATTTGCCAGGCATGGTGTCATACACCTGTAGTCCTATCAACTTGAGAGGCTGAGGCAGGAGGATCACTTGAGCCCAGGAATTTGAGGTTTCAGTGAGCTATAATTGCACCACTGCACCAGAGCCCAGCCAACAGAGAGAAAGACTGCCTCTAAAAATAAGAAAACAAATTTAAAAAAAAAAGGATTTTCCTTCCACCCAATTCGAATGCTATTTGACCTCTGCCCAGAATCAATAGAATCAACAAGAATGTACCAGAGAATGATGCTACATCCTGTGTAACTAGGGAGTTTTCATTGTTCTTTTTTGTCCAGATCACAAAGATGACCAACTCATTTCTTGTCTGTTGATTAAAGTGTCTCATTTATTTATCAAAGAGATCATATGATCTAAATGTAAAAGTCTGTCTCCTTCATAACTATTCACTATGCCTTTTTATACTCAGTCTAATAACCATATTATCAATCTCATACCCACGAATCATGAAGGCAATTGAAATGAACATGGGAAGGCCAGGCACGGTGGCTCATGCCTATAATCCCAGCACTTTGGGAGGCTGAGGTGGGTGGATCAGGAGGTCAGGAGTTTGAGACTAGCCTGACCAACATGGTGAAACCCCATCTCTACTAAAAATACAAAAATTAGCCAGGGGTGGTGATGTGTGCCTGTAATCACAGCTACCGAGGAGGCTGAGGCAGGAGAATCACTTGAACCCAGGAGGCAGAGGTTGCAGTGAGCTGAGATTGCACCACTGCACTTCAGCCTAGGCAACAGAGCAAGACTCCATCTCAAAAAAAAAAAAAATGAACATGTAAGATGAGAGATGGTGGGGTCACACGTAAACAGTCCCTGCCCATCTGGAAGGAAAGAGCTCTCAGCTCCACCGATGGTTGCAGATACAGAAATAAGGATTTCCAGCTTGGCCAAACCACTCCAATTTTGGAATTTCCAATTCTAAATCATTCCAGTTTTTCAAGGCAAGCCATATATTCAGACTCACTGAAGTCTAAATTCCCAGTTTTTGCAGGTTGGCAACTGATTTAAATGTTTAAAAAAGAAACATATATGAATCAATAAACACACTTGCAGAGCAGATCTGGTGGGTTTCGTCTGTGGGTTGCAGACTGCACCCTCCGGTCCTGTTCCCATCTGACTCATGCCATATGCCTGCTTCCTTCGAGAATTATTACTTAGGTTGGATATCTACACCCACCACTATGGAGTTTCCAAGGCCTGTGGTCTTTGTGAAAGCACAGAAGAAAGCCATTCTTTTTTAAAGAAATGTGAAAGAGGTCACATAAAGGAGGATTTCCTGGAATATCTAAGTGGCCTCAGGGGGCTCACCAACAAAATCCGTTTAAGACTGCCAGAGGCTAGTCCACTGCTAGCAACTAGGGTTTGAAATAGTCATGAACGTAAAAGTCATCTTAAAGCTCGTAACTTTAAGACAAGCGTCGTCATGACCAGTGTGATTTAATCCACAAAATGCCAAACAAAACCTTCAGGGCTCTTAGTAATAGCAAATGTTTGCCAATCACATCACAACCAAGAAGATGTTAGATATGTACTCTGGGGAAAAGCATAAAAAGTTTAACTGAGTCTCTTATTAAAGAACCACATCCTGTTCAGACTCATTTAGCAGTCAGGGGGTCTTCTCCACCCTGACCACCATGCCATATTTTCTAAACTAGGCCACATGAGGACACAGGTCACTTATAAGAGATTTCACCAATAGTATGTATGACATACCATTTTTTAAAATTTATTAGGAAAATAAGTTTCCCAATGGCTATGATTATTTCTTGCAGTGACTAACATCTTTTTCTTTTCTTTTCTTTTCTTTTCTTTTCTTTTCTTTTCTTTTCTTTTCTTTTTTTCTTTTCTTTTAAGAAAAGAAGCTAGGCCAGGGCAGTGGCTCATACCTGTAATCCCTGTATTTGCGGAGAATGAGGCAGGAGGATCACTTAAGCCCAGGAGTTCCAGACCAGTCTGTGCAACAGTGAGACCCCATCTCTACAAAAAATTAGCTGGGCATGGTGGTATGTTCCTGTCCCAGCTACTTGGGAGGCTGAGCTGGGAGGACCACTTGAGCCCGGGAGGTCAAGGCTGCAGTGAGCTGTGATCACAAACACTGCACTCCAACCTAAGCAACAGAGTGAAACCCTGTCTCAAAATGAAAGAGAGAGAGAGAGAGAGAGAGAGAGAGGGAGGGAGGGAGGGAAGAAGGAAGGAAGGAAGGAAGGAAGGAAGGAAGGAAGGAAGGAAGGAAGGAAGGAAGGAAGGAAAAAAAAAGAAAAGAAAGGAAGGATAGAAATAAAAGAAAGGAAAAGAGAAAAGAAAAGAAAAGAAGCTATATATTGAGATATCATTACCTTCACACTGGAGTAGGGACTACATTAGGAAAGCTCTTTTGATGACTGAGTTTAGAAGATAGTTGCTGGATCTAAATTACCCTCAGAGTCCAACAGACTGGAGATTATCCACTAACCAATATCTACTGAAGGCCTACTCTGGATCAGGCACTGAGCTGACAGTCTAACGAGGGAAAGAGAATTTATCAAACAACCACACTTAGGATTGTATAATTACAAACTGAAAGAAATGCAAGGGAAGCAAAAAGGCAGCTAACAAAGGGAAATAACTTAAGATGAAGGAGGTTGGAAGGAAAGAGTTCCCTAAAGGAGTGACGATTAAATAAGAATGAAATAGTCAAGAGGTATTGAAGCAGGAGCTACCCACATCACTCAGATAGCAAAAAGTCCATGCAAGGGCCCTGTGGCAGGGGTCTGGCCTGTGCAGGCAAGGATCTGAGAGAAAACAGCAATGCCTGCAGACAGACACAGACAAAAAATAGCGGCAGCAGGGCTTGAAAGGTGGCTCTGAGGTCATTAATATATTTTGTATCTGGTAGGGCTTCTTTTTCAGAATAATCCTGGCTATTCTTACATGTTCATTTTCCCATATTGAAATTCAAAATCTTCTTGGAAAATTCCAAAAAATTCTGTTGTATTGCTATTGGGGTCGTGTTAACTTTCTAAATGAACTATGGAGAATTGATAAGTTTTAAATGTTGAGTCTTCCAAATAAAACCATTTTTCTCATTTGTTCAAGAAGTCTTATTCTTTTTTCATTTTTGTTTTTGTTTTTTCTTTTGAGATGGAGTCTCCCTCTCACCCAGGCTGGAGTATGGTGGAGCAATCTCAGCTCACTGCAACCTCAGCCTCCCAGGTTCAAGCAAGTCTCCTGCTCAGCCTCCCAAGTAGCTGGGATAACAGGCATGTGCCACAATGTCCAGCTAATTTTTGTATTTTTAGTAGAGACAGGGTTTCACCAGTGGCTCACACCTGTAATCCCAACACTGTGGGAGGCCAAAGCAATCGACCCGCCTCGGCCTCCCAAAGTGCTGGGATTATAGGCATGAGCCACTGCACCCAGACAAGAATTCTTATTAGCAATTTAAGTTTACTATATTTTATAGTGTATCTCTAAAATATTATCTTCTTGTCATATTGTAAATGGGGTCTACTTATTAGGTATATACTAAATATATGCCTAAATGCCTTTTTCATATTTCTTACTGTTTGGAATAGTTTTCAATAGATTCTCCTGGGTTTTGCACTGTAAAATGCAAGTCATCCGTAAATAATGACAATTTCACCTTCTTTCTAATTTTTATACTTCTATTCCTTTTCTTGATGAATTGCATTAATTAATTACCCCCAGGACATTAGGATTTTGGCTGTGTCCCCACTCAAATCTCATGTCCCCACTCAAATCTCATCTTGAATTGTAGTTCCCATAATCCCATGTGTTGTGGAAGGGATCCAGTGGTAGGTAATTGAATCATGGAGGGATGGTTACCCCCATGCTGCTGTTCTAATGATAGTGAGTTCCCATGAGATCTGATGATGTTATAAGGGGCTTTTCCTCCTTTTGCTCAGTACTTCTTCTTGCTGTCACCATGTGAAGAAGGATGTGTTTGCTTCCCCTTCTACCATGATTGTAAGTTTCCTGAGGTTTCCCTAGCCATGCTGGACTGTGAGTCAAATACACCTCTTTCCTTTATAAATGACCCAGTCTCAGAGATGTTTTTATTAGCAGCGTGACAATGGACTAATACCACATTGTTAAATAATAATAGCAGTAACAAACATTTTGTCTTGTTCCTAAATTTCATGGGAAGGTATTTGGGTTTTCCCACTAAACATTATGGTAGATTTAAGCCTTGACCTCCTGGGTTCAGGTGATCCTCCCACCTCAGTCCCCCAAATAGTTAGGACTACAAGCATGTGCCACCACACCCAGCTAATTTTTTGTATTTTTGATAGAGACAGGATTTCACCATGTCAGCCAGGCTGGTCTTGAACTCCTGGCCTCAAGTGATCTGCCTGCCTTGGCCTCCCAAAGTGCTGGGATTACAGGTGTGAGCCACCATGCCTGGCCTGATTTCATTTTTTATATTCAGTGCTTTAAGTGTATCTTAAATTTATTTGGTTTATAATGTGTAGTACAGCTCTAAGCATTCTTTTTCTAATCCCATTCAGGAAGCCTCCACCCTTA